TGTGTGTGTGTGTGTGTGTGTGTGTGTGTGTGTGGGTGTGTAAAAGATGAATTATATAGATGTGTTTATATATTGTACATATTCGTGTATGTACAATTAAATAGCTACTATCGAACATGTATACAGAGCAGTAACATGTTTTAGTGTCCACAATGTAGATATATCAGTGCTCAAATGATCATGCACACATTGTGATATGTGTGTGTGTGTTGGTGAACAGTGATACATATACTATGCTAGGCTTGGAAGTTTGAATTATTATTCTTAGTGCATATCATCTAGGGGTAGGAAAATGAGGAAATGTTTTAATAAATAAATATGCAGGATATGATGGTTGTATAATAAGTTATCTCGTGCTAGCATATATGCTCTGTACGTTTGGGTGTGTGTGTGTGTGTTTCTTTTCATGATTATATGTATTATGAAAAAATCGTCGAAAAATAAACAATTACACAAAAAAAAAAAAATCCAAAAAAAAAAATCGGTAGTCAGTATATATAACACTGTAGCCAGTAGATATTACACAATAGTCAGTATATATAACATGGTAGTCAGTATATATAACACGGTTGTCAGTATGTATAACACAATAGTCAGTATATATAACACGGTTGTCAGTATATATAACACAATAGTCAGTATATATAACACGATAGTCAGTATATATAACACGGTAGTCATTATATATAACTCGGTAGTCAGTATATATAACACGGTTGTCAGTATATATAATACAATAGTCAATATATATAACACGGTAGTCAGTATATATAACACGGTAGCCACTATATAAAACTCGGAAGTCAGTATATATAACACGGTGGTCAGTATATATAATACTATAGTCAGTATATATAACACGGTAGTCAGTATATATAACACGGTAGTCAGTATATATCACACGGTAGTCAGTATATATAACACAGTAGTCAGTATATATAACACAATAGTCAGTATATATAACATGGTAGTCAGTATATATAACACGGTAGTCAGTATATATAACTCGGTAGTCAGTATATATATTTAACATGGTAGTCAGTATATATAACACAATAGCCAGTATATATAACACGGTTGTCAATATTTATGACACTGTAAAAGGTTGGTTTGACGTGGTTGTCAGCACCTCAACCCATTTGATTTCATAGATAATATTGAATAGGCAAAGTACGTATTGAACGTTTAAAATGAATGTAATAATGAAATGTTTACAATGGCCAATAAATGTACTCCTTTGTGAAGACAGATATTGTACGAAAGTTGACACCAGGGACCTAAACCTTGACACTCCTTTAAATCCGGTTAATCTGTTTATTAAATATTTCTTTTTATTATCAATTCAATGCCATTTATTTCCTTTTCATTTTTTGAATAATAATGTGTTTCGTGAAATGGGACCGGTACTTTTACCCTCTAAGGACAATTAAATGTTGTGAATACGGCGGTTTCTTGCTATGTCAAGAGAGTTTTTGAAAATAATGTATATACACAGCAGGTCCAATCATCAGCTATTTACATATTACAATGTAACCCCAGGGAATGAAATTATCTAAAACTCGTAGATTCTCAAGAACGATTTTTTAATTAAACAAATTTATAACCCGAATATTCATACTTAAATAATCATTATCATAGGTCATATATTTAAAAATTACGTCAGTTTAACAGTATCGAGAGATTCTATATCAATGAATCCCGTCTACTTGGATGTTTGAACGCTTAAATACTCAAGATTTCACTGTTTATCTAGAAACATAAACAATTCCGCCAAACAAGATCAGATTGGAGTTCTTCAATGGAAGTACATGTAGTTCACACCTATATACGTTATGAATACTTTAATTTGTCTCGGCTCGGCTGTGGTAATATCACTATGACCCGATGGCGTGCTATTCTTAAAAACTCCGGATACACATACTCAGCACTTGTAATGCTATTTCAGCGATAAGGTGCAAATTTTTTAAAACGTACTGACTCAACTTATTGAAAATTCGTTGACGCGGCAGAGGCGTTAAAACTCATGGTCTATATGAAGCTCGCTCTACTCAAGAATCGTACTGGAAGTTTCCAAAATTCGTTTTCTTGCAAATCATCAATTTTTAAAACAAGAGCTAAATAATTATAGTTTTCAGAAACGATTGAAGTATTATGAGATGGCGTTAAGCTTCAAGCAGCAGATAATTTGCAGGTGGATTTGCATGGCGTTAAGCGGCCTGGGATTTGTGTGTTACTGTGTGGCGTTCATTATTCCGTACTGGGTGTATATCCGGACAGATGGACACGTCCTCCGGTACGGAGTGTTTTCGGTCTGTATCGTTACAGCACGGAGCATGGCATGCGGGACAGTCGCCCCGGAAACAGTGAACGGTAAGGCGTAGTATCATGGTAGAGATATCATATAGAGCGAAATCTCCTTAACCCTTGCAGCAAAGTCCAAAATAAGATAGCCCATGCTTGTTTGGAAACCTGTTTTTCTGGATTAAATGGTAAACGAATATGTCACGTAATTTGTAACGTATCCGGTTTTTACCAATACGTTTCCTGTAACCACAATGTACTAATGTATCGAGTCTTTACGAGGTTTCACGGTGTGTGGTTGTCGTTGATCATTGTTGTACGTGACTAAATACGTCCTTGATAATATCCGTACATGACAATACACGAACTGATAATACATGAACTAACAATTTTGTTATTTTCATTTTTGAACATTTGTTTTGTATATTCTATCCTTATTTTGGTACATTGTAAGAGCACACATCCTTAATTTGGTATCATTTAAGCGTGTTTTTTTTTTAATTCTGCCTTTTCAAGGATACTGACTCTTCAGCTGTTCTTTGTCAAGCGGTACTCGCATTTTCTATAATTTATTTTGATAGACAACTAAATTTTACGGGCGTATCATAAATTTAATGTTCTTCTCTTAAAAATGGCAGCAGTTTTTAACAGTGTTCTTTAATTATTAAATGTTTGGGATGAGCTCTTCTGTTAATCAAAACGAACACTGTTACAAGGCCCGATGAAATGTAATAGACAATTGTTTGTCGTGTCTGACACACAGGCCGAGAGGAAAAACTTACATAGTCAACTACTTATATAAACTTGTTAGACTATGAAAATTAGTAAACATGCACATGTGTATGTGTTTACCGTGGTTAAGAAAGTTGTCCTTAGTGACAGTATCAACAGCAAATAATAGCATGTCAATGTAAACCTGGTATCTATAGCTATTGCACACGAAATTCTGTTGACTGAATTCGTTTTTTAAGGTTCTCCGATAGATGTAATGGAAAGAAACGATTAAGATCCGGAATGATTTGGATTTTAATGTGGTAACAACCAGTCCGTAGTAGCGACATACCCGAGTGAGTGTACGGAGTTCGACAGTAAACACCGAGATACCCCGTACATGTTTCGTTGCAAATTAAGACAAATTCAAAAGTCTAGCTAAGCTGACGCTCGGTAAATATTAATATCGATAGCTTAATACGCTGTAAATGCCCCATTCTAGACTGGTAGTGTTAGAGAGCGTACCTTGGACTTGGATAAATGTCTTTGTTTCAGTGGAATATATATTTGTGTGCTAATTTAACTCTCTATGACGTCAAAGCAGATTAATTAGTGCATTTTTTTTTTAAATTGCCGTGTAAACGAAGCCAAACACAGGTATATCTACATACAGGTATGTGATCACTTTAAATTCACACTTTGAGTTCTCTACACATATAATTCTATACAACTTTGCAACTACTAATATCGAGGTATCATTAATAAGATTTTTTCCCTCTATATGGATAGTTTGGATGAAACTTCCCCCTGCACGAAATACCTGTAGCCGCATCATCACATCGCTTGTTAAACGTGCGCTTATCAGCAGCCGAGACTTTTTGAGTATTTGTGAAATTTTATCACATAACCCTGTTGCTTAGTAAATACAACAATAGCAAATATATCAGTCGGATTTTATGCATGGCCAGTCTGCAGTGTTCCAACTCATAGAAACATGTATTGCACTTGAGGAAAAAACCACTTGTGTTGTATTTTGTGACATATCCCAATCTTTTGATAGGGTTTGGCATATAGGGGTCTTAAGGCATTTCGTGTGAACTGTTAGAAAATCATTTGTCTCAGACATCAAAAGATCTTTTTAAACAGTTTATATTCTTCTGTAGGTCTTGCTGAGGCAGGGGTTCTACAAGGCTCTATTCTTGGACCACTGTTATTTCTTATATTTGTTAATGATATAGCAGATATGTTTTAATGAACATCTCCTGAAGAAAACAGATGCATTTTTTATTTCCATTGATATAGACGAAGACTTAGAACTTGATGCGGAAGTCTTAAACTTTACGGATTATCCTAACCTCTGAGGGGTAACTTTTAGTCTAATGTAAAGTGGGTGATCATGTCAATGGGATTGACTCCTCTGTTACGAAAAACAAATTAATGTCTTACGGAAACTGAAACACTTATTGAGTAGAGATGCTCTCTTGATAATTTGTAAGAATTTTATTTGACCACTTTTAGAACATGCTTGTGAGTTATGGGACGGTTGCACTACATTTTGAATCTGAAAAGTTAGAAAATCCCAACGTGAAACCGCTCGCATTATATCAATACTTTATAGCATGAAACTGGTCTTGAAACTTTATCTAATCGAGGAAAATGTGGGAAACTTCAACTGTTGTATAAGATGCATAATTTATTAACTCCTGATTACTTCAATAATCCTTTGTCGTCTTTAACTGAAAAAAAAGCAATTACGCCTTACGTAACAATAATATCTATAGGGTTTCTCCGTTCAGACTGTCTCTTACTAACTCTTCTTTTATATCTTCTTCTTTTCATTGTCGGAATAACTTAGAAACCTCGGTTCGACCATTGCCCTCTATAAGTTCATACAAGCTATTCCACCTATAGCTACTTTAAATTCGGAGATCAGAAACTTAATGTTTTGCATACTTAGCTCAGACACCAGTGCAGTTCCCTTAATTATGAAATCTTTAGAGTTAACCTGGTTGAAGTGCAGCTTGTAATTGTCGTCATCCTTGTGAGAATGTCTTTAACTACTTTTGAATGCCACCTTTGATTTCTACATTCTGGTTCAAAATTTAAATCATTTGAATGTTGGGTTATATTAAGAAATAATTTTGTTTGACGATTCACAATTTTCTGTGGAACTTAACACATCTATTTTTAGATATGTGCAAAACTTTATTAAATCTTACAAAATATTTTGAGCTAAAATTGCATTTACAATTGTATATTTACATTTGCATGACATTGCCACTATATAGCCTCTTTGAAAGCTGTGTCGTTGATGGGACTTTAATTACCATGCATCACGAGACACAATTCTTAGCGTATTAATACAACACTGACCGGAACTACAATATCCAATATAAATAAACATGATGGCTGCTGAAATATCGCTGAGCATTGTGAGATTTGACAATGTCATTGTAAATTTATGTGCAAAATAAAAAATTAAACAAAACCACTTTTATTACAACGAAAACAAGACCAAGGTCTGCAATATCGTATAAAATGCACATCGGTTGAAATCACCAATGTCGGCAATGGAAACAATTTTAACGCTCATGCAATTTATCAGAAACATCGTCTGTTACACTGCACTGATCAACAGGGGCTCGTTACAAATGTCTGAAATAAACATATTCTATAGACTTACTGACACATATGTTACAGACCTACTGATCGAGTCACAGCATACATAAACATTTCAGACATCTGTAACGCAACTGTGCTCCGTCGCAAGATCACTCACTTAAAACGCTATCAGTTTCACGCGTCTCGCATCCACGGTTCCTCAGTTTCTGACGACATCTCAAATAACGAGTCTGTTATAGAATCTATTGACTGTTGTCAGGTTCCCATACAATAAACTAATTACGTTCACGCCTGGATTCTTCTCAAAATGAGCAAAGAGAAAAGTTCGAATTAACTTCCAAAAATAACTCCCTCGTGGAGGGCAATGTCGGATTTACGGTGTTCACTGTATTTGTCCATGCGCGAAATTTGTTCCGGTGAAAAATCGAAACAATTTCAAATCTAGCTTTCAGCTCAGAGTTGTATTGATAAACTTTAATCCCCCTATAGACATATGATATGCAATTGTATTGATACTGAATTGTGGAATAAAATTGAAGTGTTTGTTAAAATTTCAATCAGCACGCGACAAAACGCTGTTCAAAATATTGAACGAAATTGTGTGGACTGTCGATAAGGCAGCAATTTTAATTTTAAACATAAATTATAAGTTAAAAAAGAACATAAGAGGCAGAGAAAACGTAAATATAAGTATTGAACTATTTGTGTATGGTATTTATGATCTATTTGAATGACACAGCTTTGCAAGCAAACAAATCATAATGCGCGTAATGCTTAAATATACTTATGGTCTCTATTGTAGTGTCATTGAAAATGTATAACGGGAGAGGACGTTGATCAGTTGTAATGACTTGTGTGCCTTATCCACTTGTCTATTTTTGGCAATAAATATGTTTGGACCTAACAATTGATTTTGCATATTAAGTCACACCAAGTGCAACCAAATAAACCTTCTGACTAGAACTACTACACGTCAATGATTTCCGATCGGTAGCTATATATTCGGATGTTGTTCTGTTAAGAGTAATCGGGGACTAAACTAGTGGTGATTTAAAATTTGACAGAAATTCTGGAATGGTTTACGTTTGGTGTTTGCCGCCTGACGGGATAATATCTAATCGAGGAAAATATTAGTACATGACAATACACGTACTGATAATACATGAACTAACAATTTTGTTTCTTTCATTTTGAACATTTGTTTTGTATATTCTATCCTCATTTTGGTACATAGTATCAGCACACAACCTTATTTCGGTTAATAAAATTTTGAATCATTTACGCATGATTTTTTTTTTTTAAATCTGCCATTTCTATGATCAACCATGGACCCTTTAATCATGATACTGAATCCTCACTATTTCTATAATTCATTAGATAGACAACTAAATTTTACGGGAGTATCATCAATGTTCTTCTCTTAAAGAAGAAGCAGTTTTTAACAGTGTTATTTAATTATTAAATGTTTGGGATGAGCTCTTCTGTTAATCAAAACGAACATTGTTATCAGGCCCGATGAAATGTAATAGACAATTACTTGTCGTGTCTGACACACAGGCGACATGAAATACTTACATAGTCAACTTCTTATATAAACTTGATAGACTATGAAAATTAGTAAACATGCACATGTGTATGTGTTTACCGTGGTTAAGGAAGTTGTCCTTAGTGACAGTATCAACAGCAAATAATAGCATGTCGATGTAAAACCTGGTATCTATGGCACACGAAATTCTGTTGACTGAATTCGTATTTTTAAGGTTCTCCGATAGATGTAATGGAAAGAATCAATTTAGATGCGGAATGATTTGGATTTTAATGTGGTAACAACCAGTCCGTAGTAGCGACATACCCGAGTGAGTGTACGGAGTTCGACAGTAAACACCGAGATACACCGTACATGTTTCGTTGCAAATTAAGATAAATTCAAAAGTCTAGCTAAGCTGACGCTCGGTAAATATTAATATCGATAGCTTAATACGCTGTAAATGCCCCATTCTAGACAGGTAGTGTTAGAGAGCGTACCTTGGACTTGGATAAATGTCTTTGTTTCAGTGAAATATATATGTGTGTGCTAATTTAACTCTCTATGACGTCAAAGCAGATTAATTAGTGCAATTCTTTTTTTTTAAATTGCCGTGTAAACGAAGCCAAACACAGGTATATCTACATACAGGTATGTGATCACTTTAAATTCACACTTTGAGTTCTCTTCACATATAATTCTATACAGCTTTGCAACTACTAATATCGAGGTATCATTAATAAGATTTTTTCCCTCTATATGGATAGTTTGGATGAAACTTCCCCCTGCACGAAATACCTGTAGCCGCATCATCACATCGCTTGTTAAACGTGCGCTTATCAGCAGGCGAGACTTTTTGAGTATTTGTGAAATTTTATCACATAACCCTGTTGCTTAGTAAATACAACAATAGCAAATATATCAGTCGAATTTTATGCATGGCCAGTCTGCAGTGTTCCAACTCATAGAAACATGTATTGCACTTGAGGAAAAAACCACTTGTGTTGTATTTTGTGACATATCCCAATCTTTTGATAGGGTTTGGCATATAGAGGTCTTAAGGCATTTCGTGTGAACTGTTAGAAAATCATTTGTCTCAGACATCAAAAGATCTTTTTAAACAGTTTATATTCTTCTGTAGGTCTTGCTGAGGCAGGGGTTCTACAAGGCTCTATTCTTGGACCACTGTTATTTCTTATATTTGTTAATGATATAGCAGATATGTTTTAATGAACATCTCCTGAAGAAAACAGATGCATTTTTTATTTCCATTGATATAGACGAAGACTTAGAACTTGATGCGGAAGTCTTAAACTTTACGGATTATCCTAACCTCTGAGGGGTAACTTTTAGTCTAATGTAAAGTGGGTGATCATGTCAATGGGATTGACTCCTCTGTTACGAAAAACAAATTAATGTCTTACGGAAACTGAAACACTTATTGAGTAGAGATGCTCTCTTGATAATTTGTAAGAATTTTATTTGACCACTTTTAGAACATGCTTGTGAGTTATGGGACGGTTGCACTACATTTTGAATCTGAAAAGTTAGAAAATCCCAACGTGAAACCGCTCGCATTATATCAATACTTTATAGCATGAAACTGGTCTTGAAACTTTATCTTATCGAGAAAAATGTGGGAAACTTCAACTGTTGTATAAGATGCATAATTTATTAACTCCTGATTACTTCAATAATCCTTTGTCGTCTTTAACTGAAAAAAAAGCAATTACGCCTTACGTAACAATAATATCTATAGGGTTTCTCCGTTCAGACTGTCTCTTACTAACTCTTCTTTTATATCTTCTTCTCTTCATTGTCGGAATAACTTAGAAACCTCGGTTCGACCATTGCCCTCTATAAGTTCATACAAGCTATTCCACCTATAGCTACTTTAAATTCGGAGATCAGAAACTTTATGTTTTGCATACTTAGCTCAGACACCAGTGCAGTTCCCTTAATTATGAAATCTTTTGAGTTAACCTGGTTGAAGTGCAGCTTGTAATTGTCGTCATCCTTGTGAGAATGTCTTTCACTACTTTTGAATGCCACTTTTGATTTCTACATCCTGTTTCAAAATTTAAATAATTTGAATGTTGGTTTATATTAAGAAATAATTTTGTTTGACGATTCACAATTTTCTGTGGAACTTAACACATCTATTTTTAGATATGTGCAAAACTTTATTAAATCTAACAAAATATTTTGAGCTAAAATTGCATATTTACATTTGTATGACATTGCCACTTTATAGCCTCTTTGAAAGCTGTGTCGTTGATGGGACTTTAATTACCATGCGTCACGAGACACAATTCTTAGCGTATTAATACAACACTGACCGGAACTACAATATCCAATATAAATAAACATGATGGCTGCTGAAATATCGCTGAGCATTGTGAGATTTGACAATGTCATTGTAAATTTATGTGCAAAATAAAAAATAAAACAAAACCACATTTATTACAACGAAAACAAGACCAAGGTCTGCAATATCGTATAAAATGCACATCGGTTGAAATCACAAAGGTCGGCAATGGAAACAATTTTAACGCTCATGCAATTTATCAAACATATCGTCTGTTACACTGCACTGATCAACAGGGGCTCGTTACAAATGTCTGAAATACACATATTCTATTGACCTACTGACACATATGTTACAGACCTACTGATATGAGTCACAGCATACATAAACATTTCAGACATTTGTAACGAACCTGTGCTCCGTCGCAAGATCACTCACTTCAAACGCTATCAGTTTCACGCGTCTCGCATCCACGGTTCCTCAGTTTCTGACGATGAACTTAACTCACCCTATAGACATATCATATGCAATTGTATTGATACTGAATTGTGGAATAAAATTGAAGTGTTTGTTAAAATTTCACAAAGTACTACTTTGTTTGCCAATCAGCACGCGACAATACGCTGTTCAAAATATTGAACGAAATTGTGTGGACTGTCGATAAGGCGGGCAATTTTAATTATAAGTTAAAAAAGAACATAAGAGGCAGAGAAAACGTAAATATAAGTATTGAACTGTTTTTGTATGGTATTTATGATCTATTTGAATGACACATTTTTGCTGTGTCATTCAAATAGATCATAAATACCATACACAAATAGTTCAATGCTTAAATATACTTATGGTCTCTATTGTAATGTCATTGAAAATGTATAACGGGAGAGGACGTTGATCAGTTGTAATGAGTTGTGTGCCTTATCCACTTGTCTATTTTTGGCAATAAATATGTTTGGACTTAACAATTGATTTTGCATATTAAGTCACATCAAGTGCGACCAAATAAACCTACTGACTAGAACTTCTACACGTCAATGATTTCCGATCGGTAGCTATATATTCTGAAACTGTTCTGTTAAGAGTAATCGGGGACTAAACTAGTGGTGATTTAAAATTTGACAGAAATTCTGGAATGGTTTACGTTTGGTGTTTGCCGCCTGACGGGATAATATCTAATCGAGGAAAATATTAGTACATGACAATACACGTACTGATAATACATGAACTAACAATTTTGTTTCTTTCATTTTGAACATTTGTTTTGTATATTCTATCCTCATTTTGGTACATAGTATCAGCACACAACCTTATTTCGGTTAATAAAATTTAGTATCATTTACGCATGATTTTTTTTTTTAAATCTGCCATTTCAATGATTAACCATGGACCCTTTAATCATGATACTGAATCCTCACTATATCTATAATTCATTTGATAGACAACTAACTTTTACGGGAGTATCATCAATGTTCTTCTCTTAAAGAAGAAGCAGTTTTTAACAGTGTTTTTTAATTATTAAATGTTTGGGATGAGCTCTTCTGTTAATCAAAACGATCACTGTTACAAGGCCCGATGAAATGTAATAGACAATTACTTGTCGTGTCTGACACACAGGCCGACATGAAATACTTACATAGTCACCTACTTATATAAACTTGTTAGACTATGAAAATTAGTAAACATGCACATGTGTATGTGTTTACCGTGGTTAAGGAAGTTGTCCTTAGTGACAGTATCAACAGCAAATAATAGCATGTCAATGTAAACCTGGTACCTGGGACGTTGAAGGATGTACACCTCTGAGAAGTCAAAAAGTTCCTATATTAAACTTCTTTTCTCATACGTATTTTTCGAAAAAAGAGTTAATGGCAGAGTAGAAAATGACAAAAAAAAATAGATGTCCGTGCGTTCGTTTTTGTGCTATGATCGGTCAAAGATACCAATTTAACACAATAATGTGATTTTAGGTGATTTTTTACAATTTCTTCCAAGTGTGTTTTCAAATATGTATGAATATTTGCATTTGTAGAATTGATAGAAATATAATTTTCTTTTAAATTATGGTAATAAAATTTCTTAATCTTATTCTTTTAACTCAGATAGGCGATTTAGGTTACCCTACCCCTTATTTTTTATTGCAGATTAAACGCTAGATATAAAAGGTTCTGCTATTAAACTTTTTTTAATATTCAATGAATCAAAAGAAAATGTGTTCTCTTTCTAAAACAGCCACAAAAATTTGGGAGTTCGTGTGCTTCTTTTTTTGTCCAATAATTTATTGTATTATTTTTCACCTTTTTCGGGGTCAAAAATCAAAAGTGCTTCAGTTACACTAAATATGTAAATAAAATACCAATAATGTATAATTTTCCACTTTGTTGCATAATATTTTTATCATATTGAACATAAAAAAAGTTTCACAGCAAAAATGAACCTGTTACAATTAAAAATGGCGACACAATAACAATTTAGGTGATCAATCTAATGTCAAAAACGGTGAAATTTTGGCCTTTTGGGAATCCAAGAAATACACATTAATACACATTTTCAAAATGGCCGCCGAATTGGTCATTTTTTTTAATTCCTGTAAAAAAAGTTCTACAAACAACAGGCATCTACTTTTTTGACAAAATTTGTTAAATGTTACAAAAACCCGTTACACCAGATCAAAGCGAGACTTGAACGTGATTTAAACCTCAGAAGAGATCATCCTTAAAATGTTTCATGAACCCAAACAAACCAGCTAGTATGATAAAATAGAATTGCCTTGCTTTGAATTCATGAGTGGAAAGGTAGTATTGAAACGCATATTTTGAACTTTTATAAGGAATGCAAATAAGTTACCTATAATATTTACCACGATACTGTGCTTACTGATGCCCTGTCTCCGTTTTACAGGTGTGTTTGTGGCAGCCCAGGCGTTTGCTACCCTAGCCCTTCTGACCTACTTCGTGGCTGCCGTTAGCTGTGCTCTCACCCTGTGTTGGCCTTACCCGTGGAGTCGCTACTTCCTGTTTGTGTGTGGAGGATCGGCTTTGATCACAAGTAAGCCCCCTTAAATGTCTTAATTTACCTCACTTAATCAGTAAAATCTATACTTTCGGTCCATAAAACACTTTAAGCTAGTGGGCCGCATGCTCCTAAATATGACCTTTTACCTTTGTGACGTGATTCTACCCAACTGCAGCGGCCTCTTGCGAGTATTATGAGCAGTGTTAATAAAATTTACAAATGTCCCTTTCATTACATTTTAAGGAACAAAAGAAACAAATGAAAAGGTAGTCATGCCAATATAAACGCAAGATCTAAATATGAATTTTGTTATATGAAAGGTATGATGAAAGGAAGTGATTTTAAAGTAAAAGGGTTTTAAGCGTTGCTCGAAACTCACAGTAATATTCTAAATATCCTGCATTAAATAAGCTAAAAGATATTGAATCATTTAAAGTATGTTGTTCTTTCATTGGACACTTGTCGTATGTTATCACCTGGTTAATATCCACACGTGCAAAAATAGCATCCGCGTTTGGGAAATAAATTAAACAAAATTAATGTTACAGCTATACTGTCACGGTGCGAACGTTTGTTGATGGTTCCATATTATTTAAATGTCTTCTAGAAACAAATTTCAATTTGTAGCTTACAGATTGACATCCACATCTGCAAGCATGGTGTTAGTTTGAATAAGCTACTGTTTCTTTTCTTCATTTGTTTTCATTGCCTATAATTATGCTAGAAAACGAAAAAAAAATGCATCATGGTAATGTTTAAGAATTATTCTTGAATCTGTAGTCAAATCTATTTTAATATATAAAGATTCATTATTTTGCCAAACTCAATTTCAATATTTATTTTGCAGCCCTATTCGGAGGAACAATGACGGTGCTTTATATCATGTATCACGTCGAGATGCTGTCATCACTACAATTTGGGTTCTACATGGCAACCGGAAGTCTCTTTGTGACACCTATTGTCGGCGTTTTTGCAATTCTTGCCGGCAAAGCAACAACACGTCCAAAGGAGGACAATTCAGACGATGGAAGCTTTCTAACTCTAAGACCTCTATTTTCCCCGCGATCGTCGAGGTGGAAGCGACAACCGTCAACTCCACCCCCTACTTCTTCAACAAGTTTGGCAGTGACCTCCCCTGTACGGGTTTCGGTGGATGAGTCAATGACGTCACACGAAAGAGACCGGCGGATCACTGTTTCGACCATTACTGTTTCACCGGGACGGTTCTCAGCCGAAAACCCTGTCACCCCATCTCAGATTTTGCCAATGTTTAAGCAAACACCACAAAACAGACGAAATGAAAACGCTCGTGCTCATCGATTGACCAGTTTTTAAATGTGCGTAACAGACCACGTGGCTATGGACCTTACGGAACTGGAATGTAACCTACGGCGGCCCTCGTGTAAACCCGCAGTCCGGCTGGTATATTTACCATGCTTGTTTGTATGGCGAGATTTTTTAACCTAGTGTTACTGAATTTATTAGTCCCCCGTACATGCCGCACATGTGCAGTCAGCGTGATATCTAAAAGGTCGTTGCTGATTAAAAACCAGAACAAGAACCCACCAATTCCCGGTTATAGGTTTGCACTCCGTCTTTAGGTTCTCCGTCCAAAGAGTTTGTCCAGTTGAGTAGCCAGATTTATTTTGCAAATACGCTTTGGGATGGCGAAGTGTCAAGAGCACTTTTGACCTATGGTTTGACATTTGACCCGGACCACTGAAAAAAATGAAACTGAAGAATGTTTGATTTTGCTAGCACATTAGTTAGTTCATATGAGTGTACACGAATTGTACTTTACAATGTGACTTTTATTTCTAATACTACAGAAGATGTTTATTTAAATACACTATGTACTTGCTGACCAGTCGGTATAGTCTTCAATAAAACATCAAGGTACCGAACCTTTAATATTCGTGGATGAATGTTATTGAACGCAAAACTCTCATCGATACTGAATTAATAAGTATTTCAGGAACTGAAAAAAAGTAATTCAAATATTTCGCGAATAGTGTTACATGAAGACAATATGGAATTCAAACATCCGCAAAATGACTTTTAAACACAGTAACACGCATGGCACATGACAGTCTTTTAAATTTCTAGCCTTGCGAAAAATACCATTCTGATAAAAAAAAAAAAAAACATATGAATTACATGGTTACACATGTGTGATAGTTTATGGAAGTCAGCTCGTCTCGATTCGATTCAGAATCGACCCTCAATATATCCAGTTGACCGTTTTTATATGCAACTTAAACAGGTTGCTCTTCGACACTTTGGAATTAGCCAGGTCATTAACATGGTGTTTTGTTATGTCTGTATAATTATCTTGGACTACGACTGTTTATTTTTTTCTGAACTTTTCATTTCGAAGTTTGGTTTCGGTGTCTTTCAAAGTCGATTCTTTCCGGTGTTCTGCCATTCGGATACCGAACCGTCGCTGGCGACGTTTTGTATAGGTACTATATCCTTAGGGTGTACTAGGATGACCCGGATCGTCTTATAGGGCTTAATGAAGCATTGTTGGTAAGTGCTATATTTGAAGCTGATATATGTTGTCAGCACAAATGATTTCCTTGATCAGGAATAACCGCTTCGAAGTACATCGTCAATAGGTGTGTTGGTAAAGAGAGATACAACATCAAATAAAACGAATTCTTCGTCAATTTGAATAATAGCGGTGGACATACTTTCAGCACTTGACATGGTATTCAAATTAACTGAAACAGCACCCAAAGAATGTCTGCTATAGAAGTGAAAATATTATATGGGTCTCTTCATTAAAAAAAAAAAAGCATTTTTTTCTTTATTTTTTTTTAATGAGAAAGGCGGGCTTGCAACGTGCCCAAGTTTCATAATAATGCTGATATATCTTGTTTTGTTTATTTGTAGTTCGATCCTTTGAATGTGTATTGTTTGGATGTAAAATACAATAAAGTTGAATTAAATTATAAATTAAAATTTTAAATTGTTTATTCGGTACAGAGGAGGGGTAGGTAGCTCATGGTATTGGAATGAGTTATTAAACACTGCGTGCCCGAATTTGACTTCGACTTAACTGCCATCTCGTACAATGTTAACGCCCAATAATGATCATTTACCTGATAAAAGTGACAGAATACACATCGTATTGGTAACCATGGTGATATAGTACACATAAATATAACACCGTTTGTGATATATGAACCTATATACAATTTAATATTTATTGTTTCTGAGTTGTTATATCAAGCATGATAGTTACAGCCTCGTTTAACGGGATCCTAGACAAATTAGCTGCTAAGTCCTCAAGTCCTACACGAATTGATCAATGCCAGGGATACATGATCAGCGGCTGTTAACGACAGTATTGATTTTAAGAACACCTTAAATTCAATACTGTCATCTACCAACTACTCAAGAAGCATGATATAATAAAATCGTTTAGACGTTATAGGGTGCCGATATCTTTAAAATGAAACAAAATCGACATATTGGCGCAGTTGATAACCAATAATCAGTAGATCACGAACGAAGAACACTCCTATTTAAAAACATAAGAAAGAAGGTCGAAGACGGAAGCAAAACAGCATAAACATTTATTACATTATATGACCATTTCCTTAATTATCAAGAATCATCCAGTGGTGCTTAAGCTCAAACGAATGTGTGAAATGTTCCTAAACTTAACGTAATAAAGATGGAAATATTCGCTTTATTTTTGTTTTTTGGGGGTTATGTTGAGTAATTAAGCGCGAGATTATATAGATAGAAGTTAACTGAAATATCAATAACTCAGAAGTTTAAAGGGTCACGCACGTCGGCAACATTTTCACACGCGAAAATTTCCACTTTTATAGTACGTAGAAATACAACAAGAGAATTCTATACAACCTTTACTGATTAACAGGTTTTGGCTACAACAGAAAATGTATTTTCAAACTATTGTTCAAGTAAACTGCGCCGGATTGTTTCATAAAGTTGTGATAAACTGCCAATCTAGTATGTCATATATGCGACAGACATATTTGATTAAGAATAAATCATCACTTCCCGTATATTACCAGTGACTATTCTGGCAACTGCACACAAGAACAATATACATACTTTATCGTTTTCGCGAATAGATATTATCAAGAATAACCATGAAAACAATATAATTGTGAGAATACAGTGATTCACTGTGCAACACAAAATCGCTACCAATGTACACCATAGCATCACCCGAAATGAGAATAGGACACAACGTCCAACGTCGACGTCATAGCTCTCGTAAATAAACTCATAATGGAATGAGAATAAAGGCACGACCTCCAAATTCGACGTCATAGTCGACGTCAAAACTCTCAAAAGGAATAGATAGAAGTCAAAACATCGTAGTCTATGTCAAAAGACTCAAAGGAATGAGAAAAGGCTCGACGTTCAAAGTCGACATCACAACATTTCCAAAGAAGTAGAGAACGTCACGGTGGCCATAGTCTACGGCAATAAACTCTTAAACATGAAGATAGGACACGATTTCTGCAGTTCACGTCTTAACATTTCATTAGGAATGCGAAAAAGCCAGGCCGCCCATAACAGACGTCATCACACACAATATGACCAGGAACAAACAAAACAGGTGGACATCAAGTCTCGGCAGTATGTCTTTCACACAAACACAATTCTCGTTCGTTTGTTTTAATTCTAATGCTTTCACACTGTTGGCTGTACACATCATCCGGATCGTTAATGTCAAAATGCTTTATTTAGAACGGTTTCCAAGTGTACAGCAACCAAACATTTTGGCAACCGATGCCGGTACCGGGGTGTCGCCATATTCAATAAAAAGTCGCACTTGTATGACCATTACCGGGAAGATGGTTACACTGAAGACAAGCAGAGCGAGTAAATATATGGTCAAGTACGACGCGTCTTTGGAAGTGTGCGGCAGTTCAGAGCTGATTGTTCCCAGAAACACAGCGTACGATAGGTACACGGTCACACAGAACGAATTCTTTTCTCCCGAAGATATGGGGATAAGAAACACACAAACGTTCAAAAACGCCAGCAGAACAACGGGGGCAATTGTTGTCAACACGACGAATTAGGCCTCCGCTTTAGATTGAAGAAATAAGTCACAAATGAAAAAGATTCTTCGTCGTCGAATTCCGGGTTTCGAACCCCGTAACTTATCACTGCCCATTCAACGTTTCCTGCAAAATATTTCATGCTTATTGATTCTAAATTGTGTCTTGATGGTCACTTCGGACATAGATGCATCCCAAATTTCGAAATCCAACACGCAGTGTTGTGTATCAAAAGGATAATATGTAATATCGACTTCACAAGTCACGACGAAGCTATCCCCTGGAAACCATTCAACTGTACCATCGGCGTTAATCACAGCGCTTGAAACCAACTGTGAAAGAATGTTAGCCCGGCCAAATGTGTTCATAAGGGCAATTTTTGGAAGCCATATTGAATCTCCTTGCACATGTAAATGCGCCACATCACCTAAGGCAGACGTGTTCCAAGAAAGAGATTCGTCCGTCCAGCTCATATGAAACCAACCTGCTATTACAAGTTTCTGCGACTTTTCATCAAATTCGTTTATCGAACTTAAATTGAAACCCAGCGTCACAAATACGACGTCACTCCGATTCCACACAGGTCGAACCCGTTTGTCGTAGCCATTGAATATATGGCTGTAGACATCTTTCACGTCTTTTGATGTTGGTGATGATGTGGCCATGCTTATCATTAACGCCAGTACAAAATAGCGCAGCATGCTGTCTGCTGATGCCATGCCCCGCAACACTCTATACGAGAGCATTCAATACGACTATATCTTATTTTTGAAGTTCTTATAATGAAACCGAGATACAGTTGACTAGCACGCGTACGGTACGAAGTCGGACGAGTAAGTTGATGTGATGCGAACCAATGTACACCAGTGGTAAGCACTGTCCTTCATCTGATTGTCGCTAGGTCGGCACGATTTACTTGCGATATAAGTTAAAAACAGTATAGGTTTCATAAATGTTTCAAAGCAAGTCGTTCGTCCCGATGGAAAAGCTCGTGTAAGCGAGACTAATTGATGCTTTTCGTAGAAAACAGGAATCGGATGAAAGAAATGTTAACAGAATGCATAATCATATAACATGATTGTCTTACCACGCATCTCCAAATCTCTCTATTAGCGTTCGAGGTGTTTAATTGTTTGTCACTAGCTTCTAACGCTAATGATTTACCTTCACTGAGCCGAAGACTGAAGCATTTTCTCATGGTCACGCATAAAATCAGAGCATAATTATCCAAGTTCAGATACCTAACTGAATATTGACTTAAATTCTCTGTACATAATAATGTTTTGTAAAACTTGATTTTGCATCAAAATCTACTTATACACTCATACTTTGTCTTTTGATTTGATGTTTTCTTTTGCAGGTCATCTATGCACTTATTTATAATTGATTGTAAATTAATTACTTTTATATTATCGTTATTCAACATTTTCTCATAATTTAATTGTATTTGTGATTATTATGATTACAAATGATAAAGAATGCTTAAAGGCCGAAATTCAGTGCCATTTGTGTATGTTGGTGTTATCTCGGACATTGACAGTATCAATTAATTTTGTCCCAGCAAGGCTACAGCGCCAGCTCACTAATGTCTAGTTTTGTGGGCAGTGTTTGTGTCTATACGTGTACACTGAAGGTATTTTGACCACTCATGAATGGTGTGAGCCTATAGCCTTTACTCTTGCATTGGTTGATATTGATACAAGAAAATACATGAACACATTGTTTTATTATGAAATTAGTCATATTTACTTGAGCATTACATGGGATAAATGTAGACATTTATAACAACATTGATTATGGTATGAATATAGAATTAATAGCGGTATACATTAATGAACACCTTAAATAATGTATTCCATAACTGACTTTCCATAAATTATGTATTGTAGATGTATATATATATATAATATAAGCAGAAAAATATTATAAAAAGAAAATATTATAAAAAGAAAAATATTATAAAAAGAAAAATTCTCAACATATATATATATATGTCTTTTTTAGAAAGTATGATTACAAAGCTTACATACAAAGTTTTCATGCAGCATGATATGAATATTATAATAATGTCTTATTTTATTTCTATACAATATTCATATTAAACTTTTAGTGAAATAATATCAGGTATTTATATCATTTTTATCTAATAGCATATAATATTGCTGTTGAAACAAAAAACAAATAAATCCACTACCAGAAACAATGAATGATATATAAACTCCAAACTCGAAATACAAATCATAGAATAGAATGGAGTTTGTGGAATAGTATCATTCAATAAAAAACAATGTTTACCTTATTAAAACCAAAATTATAATTCTGAACGATAGTGATTGTTAATTGTTTTTGTTTTCCACAGCTTGTAAATGTAAACACACACAGTCAATTCACATTTATCATGAGACATATCATGTTGCACATAACTGTACAGAGCAGGACCTCTTCTCAAACAAACTGAGTTTGTCTGCTGACCTGTCACATAAATTTTGTGTAGAAATTAGGTAGCCAGTGGTTTGCCTGGATAACGAATCCCGGCCTTTAAAATCAGTTAAATAGAAAATCAAATGCAATAAAGACTCCTCATACATGTATTTTATGCATTTCGTAAATTCATGTATTTTAAATTCTGCATCGAAATGAGACGGCCTTGCTATAACCCTTAAAAATGATTCAATTGAATATTTTACTGTAGTGTGTTTTGTTTTTGAATATAGTTAAAAAGGTTGGCGATGGGTGAATTACTGGGGTGCTTTCGAATGTTCTTCATAGGCTATTTAGTATTCAGCCGACATAGTTTTATTGTTTGAAATTACATATATTTAACTAAAACGAGGCCGCAGTTGGTTCACTTCACCGACGTTGCCTTTATTGCTCTATATATTTAAAAACAATTATTAAATACAAACTTGATAGAAAAGATCTAGAAATAAAACACAAATCATATCTGTGTTCGACTCTCGAGTATGCTAGTGTTGTGTTGAATATTTTAATCAGAATGAATCAAATCTCTGAAAATATCCAGCTAGATGCTGCGAGAATAGATACTGATCTTCAATGAAGTGCTCGCCATTAAAACATCTATTATGACTCATATACAGCTTATAACATCCAATTAAATCTACATCTAAATTTGGATTCAAACTTGTATCAAAATATGATATGTAATATAATCACCACAGTCAGGATCTTAACTCTGTCTGTGTTCTGAGATATATAGATACAACCATATGTTTGGATGCATGTATGTATTGGGTAAGCTTTCTGGCATGTACAATCCCGCGACATGCCTCTTATTCTGGATATGTGTTGACTGGTATACACATAGTGCTGGTGTATATGGACTGTTAGTGCTACCAGCTGTCAAACTGGAGAAATCAGGAGAGGGAGTAATGACTGGTTTGGTTTTAATTGGTTTAACGTCCGATTAACAGCTAAGGTCATTTACTGACATGCATCCATGTGTGTCATGTATGATTGCATGTGTGTATGTGTACTGGAAGCAGGGTATGTTGGTGTATTTGCCTCCTTACGATAGCGCGGATCTGATGAACGACTTAAGAATGCTACTTCACTAAAATACCATGTCGAATGCACACAGCACAGCAGTAATCCACACGGTCACATTATACTGACAACGGTTTGTTGCAGTTGTTGCAATGGAGCTAAATGTTGAATATAAAGCAGGGAATACAAGTATTGTCAAGCTAGAAAACAAAAAGATTTTCAGGAAGTAAAGAACACATAAAAATCCCAAATGTTACGAGGGGGCAGATCAATTGGGGTTTCTTCAATGTCCCCTTAGTGGAGGAGACAGGGAAAGCCCCGGATTTTCCAGGGGGCCCTACATTAGTCACCTATTACGATATGTAGTGGCCAATTCTTTACCCGAACCAGCAGGGGAGGAGAGTGATCTCGAAATACTAGTAACTATTAACCAGTAAAATGTACACATTGTTTATTTTTATTCTTCATATATGCCTATAGTAAAAAGCAAATGTGGTAAGCACTAATTTAAATTTTAAAAAAAATTGTAATAATACCATGCTTATATTAATAAACCATTTATAAGTATACAAAACAAACATAGTTGAATTTTGTCAGAATATTTCAGAATTGGTTACATACTGAAAAAATATTACATGTAACTTACCTTCAATTTTATACATTATTCCAAACCATAGTTTATTATCTGTAATTGTTGGAACTTTAAGTACTTCTGATCAGAGGGCTTGTATCGGCTTTTCCTGTAGATGGATTCCCTTTAAATCTACTTGATTTAATCATTTTTTAGACGATTTCTTTAAAACGGATGACCCTAGTTTTACATAATGGTCTTCTGATGTAATCGGTGTTTACCTACATATCCAATACAAAACATATTGCTCAACATCATTCAACATGTCATAATCAAGTTATCACTAACTTTTTTTTGTGTCTTATTTATAATTTAACGACCTCACAACTGCTATTGTCATAATGAGACGTGTGCCAATGGAGACATGCTATTAACGTTGTTTGTTTGCAGGGGGTTTGGTGTCTTAACAAAAGTCATATAGCTGTAAAACCATACCATAGTATCATACCGGGGGAAAGGGTTGGACACTGCTGCAATAGCTTTAATCTTTCATAAAGATCGCGAAAAGGCCAGGTCACCCATAACAAACGTTATCACACACAATATGGCCAGGAACAAACAAAACAGAGGAACATCAAGTCTCGGCAGTAGGTCTTTTACACAAAAACGATTCTCGTTTGTTTGTTTTAATTCGGGGTCTTCTATCAATGCTTGCACTCTGTTGTCTTTCACATCATCCGGATCTTTTTTGTCAGAATACTTAACTTTAGAACGGTTTCCAAGTGTACAGTAACCAAACATTTTGGCAACCGATGCCGGTACCGGGGTGTCGCCATATTCAATAAAAAGTCGCACTTGTATGACAGTTACCAGGAAGATGGTTACACTGAAGACAAGCAGTGTGAGTAAATATATGGTCAAGTACGACGCGTTTTTGGAATTGTGCGGCAGTTCAGAGCTGATTGTTCCCAGAAACACAGCGTACGATAGGTACACGGTCACACAGAACGAATTCTTTTCTCCCGAAGACAAAGGGATAAGAAACACGCAGACGTTCAAAAACGCCAGCAGGAGTACTGGGGCAATTGTTGTCAACACGACGAATTTAGGCCTCCGCTGTAGATGGAGGAGATAAGTTATGGATGAAACCTCATCGTCGATTTTCGGAATACCAACCTCAACTTTTGTCAATGTCCATTCTCCATTTTCTTCGAAAAAATTGACGTCAACTGGTTCTGATGATGTCTGTAATATCACTTCGGACGTAGGGGCATCCCAAATTTCGAAAACCAATGAACAGTGTTGTGTGTCAAAGGGGTAATACGTGATATCAACTTCACAAGTCACGACAAAACTATCCCCTGGAAACCATTCAACTTCACCATTGGCGCTAATCGCAGCGCTTGAAGCCAACTGTGAAAGAATGTTTACTCGCCCAAATGTGTTTGCAAGGGCAATTTGTGGTAGCCATATCGAATTTCCGTCTACATATACATGTGGCACATCACCAAAATCCGACATGTTCCAAGTCTGCGATTCGTCCGACCAACTTGCATCGAACCAACCTGATAATACAAGTTTCTGCGACTTTTCATCAAATTCGTTAATCGAATTTAATTTGAAACTCAGCGTCACAGATACGACGTCACTCTGATTCCAAACAGGTCGAACCCGTTTGTCGTAGCCATTGAATATATGACTGTAGACATCTTTCACGTCTTGTGATGTTGGTGATGAGGTAGTGGCACTTATCATTAACGCCAGTAATAACGTGACAATCATGATTCCCTTTGATGTCATACCAGACAATACACTACACAGCAGCAATCAATACAACTTTATTCTTCCTTTTGTGTTCCTGCAATAAATTTGAAAGACATGTGAATACGTTTAAAGTAGGACTGGCATGTTTATGTTTTATACAAACTAATGCATACACCCGTGTCTAGTACAACACAATGTCTAGTCATACCAAAATGTCCAGATTCGATTGAGGAATAAGGTTAAAAAAGTAAAACGTTTAATACAAAACTTTGAAGTTCATTTTGGATGGAAATCCCTGAAGCGGGGGTATAAATATCAAGCTCTATATCCCTTATTATGCCATGCCGTCTGCACCCCGGGGGACCACACTTCTATACAAAATATAGTATCCTTTGCTTACTACATGATCTATAACAAATTTGGTGATAACCCCATTATTCAAACAAATTTAAAGCAGAATGGTTTTAAAAGATTTACCACAATTTCCCCTATTATGTCCCTCTGAAAATTGATCTTCTCTGCTCAAAGATGCTCTCGAACAGGTTTGGTTTATATCGCTTCCGTGGAAAAGGATTTTGTAATTTTCCACTTGGTTTCCCGTATTGGACCCCATACCTCTGCTCAGTCTAGATCTCACGCAACTAAATCAACCAATCAGTAATTCAATGTATTTACAAGAGGCCCAATGGGCCTGTATCGCTCACCTGGTATTAATCTCACACTTGTAATCTTAAAAGTTGACTAAAATACAGCTACAAGCAGAATATCAGTGTTTGATTCATAAGAACCTATTAAAAAATTAAAACATATGATGCCTGTGATCTTGAATATCAAACAAGGACATTAGGTTGGAAGTGGATCAAGGTCATTCCTTTGAACAAACTTGGTAGTCCTTCATCCAAGCATGCTACAGGCCCAATGCAGTACCCTGGGGCTTTTGGTTACTGAGAAGAAGTTGTTTGAAGATTTTAACACATTTGACCCCTGTGACCTTGAAAGTGGGTCAAGGTCATTCATTTGAATAAACATGGTAGCCCTTCATCCGAGCATGCTACAGGCCCAATATTAGTACATTGGGGCTTTCGGTTATTGAGAAGTTGTTTGAAGATATTGACAATTGACCCATGTGGCCTTGAAAGTTGGTCAAGATCATTCATTTGAACATACCTGGTAGCCCTTCTTCCTAGCATGCTACAGGCCCAATGAAGTACCCTGGGACTTTTGGTTACTGAGAAGAAGTTGTTTGAAGATTTTAACACATTTGACCCCTGTGACCTTGAAAGTGGGTCAAGGTCATTCATTTGAACAAACTTGGTAGCCCTTCATCCCAGTTTACTTCTGGCTAAATATCAGTACCCTAGGCCGTTTGGTTATTGAGAAGAAGTTATTTAAAGTAAAATATTGACACCGGACGCAGCACCACGGCATCAGCTCACTTGGCCTTGCAGGCCAGGTGAGCTAATAACTGTTTCAAACCATTGTAATATCCCTACCTAAAATTTGGTCCGGTTTAACACAGTGCCTCTGAGCATTTTAAGTACGTAATTGTTGACATAATTTACATGAATGAAATCTACAGATATTGAACTCTAAAACAAGAGGCCCAGAGGGCCTGTATCGCTCACCTGCATATGTTTAAAATAATTGGTATGAAGTAAAGATTTAGCACTCCATGGTAGGTGCTGTATTTCAGAAAGATCCATCCAGTACTTTAGATACAGTGGGAACAAACTTCAAACAGAGCCCCACCCCTATGCCCCTAGGGGGGTCATACCCACCGTTTAAATACAAAATTGAGTCTCCTTGGCCCAAGGATGCTCCAGACTAAATAAGGATAAAATCCCTTAATCCTGATGATCCCTGAAGAATTTTAAAGGTTTTACCTCCATTTCTACTATTGTGCCCCGCCCTTCTGCCCCCTGGGAGACCCGACCACACCCACTGCTTATACAAAATTGAGTCCCCTTGGTTCAAGGATGCTCCAGACTAAATTAGGATAAAATCCCTTAATCCTTATGGTAGAAGAAGGATTTTAAAGGTTTTAGCTTTATTTCCCCTATTGGCCCCGCCTCTCTTCCTCAAGGGGGGTATAGACACACCGTTTATACAAAATTGGTTCCCCTTCACCCAAGGATGCTTCATACCAAATTTGGACAAAATCCTGTCATTCCTACAGAAGAAGGTATTTGAAGAATTTGCTATGTTTCCCCTATTGGGCCCGGCAATTCTGCCCCCTGGGGGGGCCACATTAACTGTTTATAAAAAACTGAGTCCCTTTTGCCCAAGGATGCTCCATACTAAATTAGGATAAAATCCCTTAATCCCTATGGTAGAAGAAGGATTATAAATGTTTTACCTCTATTTCCCCTATTGGGTCCCGCCCCTCAGGTCCCAGGGGGGCCACACCACTGGTTTGGTTTGTAAACTTCCGGTTGTCAAAAGCAGATGTCTGTAGCACTTTTATATAACACGATACCCACCAAAAAATGCCATCTGAAGCCTTTGTCAGGTATAAATGTATTTAGACAGTATGAACGCTATTAACACAATAGCTTAATAATAACATATAGTAAATGATTAAGATGTTCGAGTCCTTTAACCCTTTCACCCCTAAGTAACTTTAGTAGACTCTACAATGCATTGATATGGATGAGTCCATTACGGTCCACAGTGGTGAAAGGGTTAAGGGCAATAGCCGGTGCCATGTGCTCAATAAACCTGACCTTTCACGCATTTTCTGTTTTCCAGACAGAATTTTTCTTCAAACACAGCCACTGTTATTGGGTCACATTTTGTTCAGTATAACTTGATAAAACTTTAAATTGTGGTTAATCTGGGCTAAATATGACTCTATGCTTAAGCCTAGGCCTGTATATTTAAATTAGAATTGTGTTCAATTTACTGTAACAAGACGCCCAATGGGCCTGCATCGCTCACCTGGTATAAATCTCACACTTGTAACCTTNAAGTCATTATGTTGAACAAATTTTATAGCCTTTCATCTCAGGATGCAACTTGCAAAGTATCAACATCCTGGGACCCATGGTTATTCAGAAGAGGTTGTTTAAAGATTTTGAACAAATTTGACCCCTTTGACCTTGAATATAAGTCAAAGTCATTCACTTTAACAAACATAGTAGTCCTTGATCCCAGCATGCTACTGACTAAATATCAACATCCTGAGCCTTTTGGTTATTCAGAACAAGTTCTTTAAATATTTTGAACATATCTGCTCCTTGTGACCTTGAATATGATTCAAGGTCATACATTTAAACAAACTTGGTAGCCCTTGATCCAAGTATGCTACTGACTAAATATCATCACCATGGGCATTTTGGTTATTCAGAAGAAGTTGTTTAAAGTTTTTAACATATTTGACCCCTGTGAACTTGAATATGGGTGAAGGTCATTCATTTGAACAAAATTGGTATCCCTTCATCACAGCATGCTACTGACTAAATATCATCACCCTGTGCATTTTGGTTATTCAGAAGAAGTTGTTTAATGTTTTTAACATATTTGACCCCTGTGACCTTGAATATAGGGGAAGGTCATTCATTTGAACAAACTTGATAGCCCTTTTCCCCAGCACGTTACTGGTCAAATATCATCACCTTGGGCATTTTGGTTATTGAGAAGAAGTTGTTTTAAGTTTTTAACATATTTGACCACTGTGACCTTGAATATGGGTGAAGGTCATTCATTTGAAATAACTTGGTAGCCCTTCATCTCAGCATGATACTGGCTAAATATCATCACCCTGTACATTTTGGTTATTCAGAAGAGGTTGTTTAATGATTTTAACATATTTGACCCCTGTGACCTTGAATATGGGTGAAGGTCATTCATTTGAAAAAACTTGATAGCCCTTTACCCCAGCATGCTACTGGCCAAATATCATCACCTTGGACATTTCGGTTATTCAGAAGAAGTTGTTTGAAGTTTTTTTAAGACTATTGACCCCTGTGACCTTGAATATAATTGAAGGTCATTCATTTGAACAAATTTGGTAGCCCTTCACCCAAGCATGCTACTGGCCAAATATCGTCTCCCTGGGCAGTTTGGTTATCGAGAAGATGTTTAAAGTTTTTAACATATTTGACCCCTGTGACCTTGAAAATGGGTGAAGGTCATTAATTTTAACAAACTTTATAGCCCTTCATCCAAGTTTGCTTCTGGCCAAATATCATCACCCTAGGCCTTTCGGTTATTAAGAAGAAGTCATTTAAAGTAAAATATTGACGCCGGACGCCGGACGGACGGACGACAGACACCGCGCCAGAGCATAAGCTCACTTGGCACTTCGTGCCAGGTGAGCTAATTATTGATCTGCACGTGTTTCAATAGCTCTATAGTGATTTGTGTACCAGCTTTTAGCACCAGAGTTGTGAAATAACAGAAATATATTGTGCTGTCCTGCACAACTATGACTCCTACCCAACAATTGTAAAGCAAGATGAGCTGACAAATTTCACCTTTAGGGCTCAGAAACTGGCATCAATAACAAGAAATACAGGATAATACTCTAAAATGATGAGAATACAAGCTGTATCAAATTTAACCGAACTTTGGTATCAAACGACAGCAGTATAAAATTCTGTCTAAAATATTTTACTGTTAAACCTAACCACAGGTAGTAGCCGTGTCTGTCAAAACACCTATATTCTATTATATGATCTATTATAGGTGTATTGACAGACGAGGCTAGTACCTGTGGTTAAACAGTAATATCAAAACAACCCACCCAATAGGCTGAACCATTTTAAGCAATTTTCCCCAATGGTATCAATACTAAGTGATGATGATGACGTCACAATTTGTGAGGTCATGGCTTGATGACGTCATTGTGTTGTGTTGACGTCACGGTAACAGTGTTGTGACGTCATCAAGATCGACTTCATAGTTACTCATCATGTTTGACAGTTTGTCAAGATGGTTGTGACATAGAGGTCCGGTGACTTTTAATCCCTGACGAAGGGCTAAGCCCATAAGCTTGGAAAAGAGTGACTTTAAAGTTTCTTAATATTATTGCATTCCCTATATATAGGAACATATGTTTATAGACAATTTTGTGAGCAGGTATTGATTGTTACGTCATTAGTTTGTGGGAGAAAATTATGTCGTTTTCTCAAAAACTGATGACGTTACTCTCCCAAACAAATAACGTAACACTCAATACCTGCTCACCAGAGAAGATAACTCTGCAATACGCAAAGACGGAATAACGGTAAACTAGAATCGTTACTTACCAATTTTTGACAGAATTACTGACTCCTGCGGTCAAACCACATATGCCTTTGTGTGCATGTCAAAATAGGGAAGAGTGTTTTACTTTTGTACTTTAATTTAACATCCCTGCCACACTTTGGGTCAGATATGAGGATGCGTGCATATAACGAAACACCGCTTGATCAACAGAAAGTAATAAGAACAGGAACAAAATGCCCCATTCGTACAAATCTCAAAAGAAATGGTACAGAGGACCATTCTTTAGTTTAAATCATTTACTTACAAGATGCCTCTGTCGTCAAAGTAATTATTTTGGACAAAAAACAGTAAATGCTCTAATAGAGTCCAAGCGATGAAGCTATATAGGTGCACCTGGGGGTCGACTTTTCCACAGCGACACCATTAATTGGGGTCTGTATTATATTTTTACCAATAATTGATCACTACCCATAAACATCTAACATTACTCTTTACATATCAGGGCGATAGATCCATGCAAACCAAATGTAACAAGTTCTCAGATCTCTGTCTGCTGTGACAACTTAATAAAAGTCATTGCGAACGAGTCCCTGTGCCATGACAGCTAGGCGGTAACTGGTTGTTTCGCGCTAAGAATTGTTTCGTCCTAAATCCTGTTTGCCCTAGGTTGTTTCGCCCTAACTATTATTTTTCAAATTTATATGCTTATATATCAATTAATATTCAAATGAATCAACTAAACTTATTGATGGCTTTCTTCATTGGTGTGAGGTATATTTCATGTAGAGTATGTGAGAGCGGTGTCAGCTTTTCACAGCTGCCGTTTGTCACAGTCGCTTAAAAATAAGACAAACACATTTTTTATGAAATTGATGATATGGAAGACTAAGAAGACTGAATTTGTGACTTAAAACTACTTTTAATTGAAAGAAAATACTGTACAATATTGTGTCCTATTTTTTTGTTTTAGGGCGAATGGGATTTCAGGTAGTCTCGTTCTGAACCAGACGCTTGATCACTTGTTATTTAAGAGTCTGGTCAAACACAGTACTTTAAAATGACCATCACCCGAGGCAGGGATGTGTAGTGGACCACTACACATCCCTGCCCGTGGGTTAGGGTTTTTACTTTCGTTTCCGGACGTTATGTCAACGCCATTAAACATGTCAATGAATAACGAAATTCATGAAAAAAACTTACCTATACAGTATACATGCATTCCTGAAGTACCTGTGTATTCATTATTATTGAGAACAATGTAAGAAAATAAGTCAAATCTCCAGAATAATGCCATATATTTCACTGAGCATAACTGAGCACAAAGCCAACAAGGCTACCTGAAGTTGGAAAAAGCATGCAAAGCAAGTGAGATTTTACCTGTACACCATTCAAAACACCTACAAGTTCTCATTCAGGTAATCTGGCTTGACTTGTATCAATAGCCTTGTTAGCTTCATGAATAATTATTGCAAATTATCTTATGAAAATACATGAAATCATTCTTTTTGAAGCATTTTCTCACATTTTTCTCGTTAATAGTGAAAACATCAGGAATGCATGTACAGGTAATTTTTTCATGAGTTAAAATATTCAATGTAATTTTTCGCCACTCAAATTCTGACTTCAAAAGTTGAAAAGGGTGTGTCAAGATTTGACCAATGAAATAATTTACCAGAATAAGCCTCGTTATGATGTCACAAAACGAAAGCACTGGGTTTGACCAGATTCTCTGTTCGGCGTAGCTTGCGCAGGCCAACGAGACTCGATTTCGCGCGAAACAACCCGGACCAAGCTAAGACTAAATGTAACAGACACAAATCGTCGATAACAAAACACATTACCTTACAGATTTAAATCAAATAGCCGTGCCAACAATAAGGTTAAATCATTTACCGTAATGACAATTTGACCGTTTCCAACCCGGAACTGCCGTGTTATCTTCGACTACTGTGTACAATAGGTAATGAACGAAGTGGAATGTTTACATTGTTTACGTTTGTGATAAAAATGGCGCTAAATTATAAGTTCATCTGTGGTTTTCATATTTGTTCGTTCAATAGCTATACTATTATCACAGATGCTTCTATGCTTAGTTTATACTATAAAAACACACAAAATTACAATATCAACCGATAAGAATTAGTAAATGATCACATTGACCTTACGCAAACAAGGGAAGGAACCCAACTATTTTTCAGGTTGCACACCACTAAATCGATTCGTCCGTGCAAACTTTACAAACTTTATCACAAATTGCACTACCTCTTTAACGCTTACAGACACGACGCACACCGTTCGATATGTTAAGTTGACAGATAATACTGTATTCATACTGTCCGTCAGCCTCAGATTCTGTGCAGTTGTGGTTTTTTTTCAATTAACATTCCGTTTTTAACACGACGTGACTGTAACCAAAACAGGACACTTTTTAGATATATATCAATATTTTTTATACCATACTATTAATTCCATTTTTTTTTATTCAATTCAACTAAGTTTGTTCGTTCTGACTCTGACTTTTAGCATTTCTATAATAGTTCTCTGCACCATATCTTTCATGTGAATAGACCCACAAAGATATACGTTTACTCAACAGCTGTCTATCACTACTAACCAATCATAGTCATCTACCTTCTGATTGCTTGATGGACCATCTCTATATATCAATCTCCAAGCACAGGGGCACGCAACTACTATCGTTAAACGTTCAGTCGCTGGGTAATATTGTTGATTATTGGCACATCTAGGCCTATAGCATGTATGCCAAATCCTGTTACTACCAGATCAGGAACATCGGCTGTATTCGGCAGTTTCTAACTGCAGATGCATGCAAGATTTTGGTACATTCACTTGTTACCTCTCGGTTGGATTATGGTAACGCCCTGCTCTGTGGTATATCTGACAAACTAACTAGTCGTATGCAGATCAGGGTCCAGAACACTGCAGCTAGGCTACTTACCGGTACTCGAAAGAGAGAGCACATCACACCTGCGCTTTATTCGTTGCACTGGTTACCTGTACGATACAGGTCGCAGTACAAAATTCTGGTATACACATACAAGGCACTGAATGGAACAGCTCCTCAGTACCTACATGAGCTTGTTACCCTGTATCAGCCGTCAAGATCACTGCGGTCGGAGTCAGAATCTTTGTTGTGTGTCCCAAAATCTCGTACTGTGACCTACGGAAACAGATGCTTTGGGAGGGTTTCGGCTAGGTTGTGGAATAGCTTACCATCTGCTATTAGGAAGTCAAATACCCTGGTCAAGTTCAAGAGGAACATAAAAACTCACCTCTTCACGTCTCATTTTAGAATCTTTGCAAAGACGTCATGTAAATACCACCCTACTATTTGTTCAATTATGTGCACATTGCTTGTTAAATGTATGAAAGTGATTGCAAGCCTTTGTTGTTTGTTTTCACAATTATAACCATTACTATTATCCGTATGTTGTAAAGCGCCTTAGAGTAATTTTACAAATTACATAGGGCTATATAAATGTTGTATATTATTATTGTTATTATATATATTTGTTTGGCTTCATACAAATCCCAGGTCGTTGACCTTGACCTTTATTCAGGGTCACAGAAAAAAATCAAAATTCTTCAAAACGTGTTTTAATACACCACATTTTAAAGAATGTATCCTAATAAAAAGTCAAGGTGTATGCATCATGATGCATGTCAATTAACAAGTGAAACCTACAAAATAGATTTGTCAGAGAAGGGAAACAAAGGGAAGCGGAGGGAAACGTTTCAAAGCGATCGTCAAGTCCGAGAACATATCCTTGATCATTTTCTTGTTGGACATCCCGTGCTTTGACTTGATCAAATCTAGTTGTACGTATTATTATTCTTATTTCCACAGATCTTGTAAACACTTTATCTCAAGAACAAAAACAGACATAACGTTCATATTTTAGTATGTGATAACGGACAACGATCTCACGATACCCGAACAAAATCATGTTCATAACTCCACAGGTCAAGGTCACAGATCTATAAATAGAGAATTTTTGAACGTTTTCCGAACGTCTATAACTTCAAAACCGTTCCTTATACTGCATGAACTCTTTATACTTCATGCAGATCTTGGTCGGGGCTAACTATTTTCCATGACATATTATCAGAGATTATGTCAAATTCAAAGGTTCGCTATGTGGTCAAATATAGGTCAACAATGAAAATCTTAAGAAAAGTAAAATTTGTATCACATCTTAAAGAGCACGATCTAATTAGGTTATGTGGAAGGTTTAAAGGTCACAAAATCAAAAATGACGAAGAAATGCCACTTTGAAAAATGTTCATTTTCCCGCCAAAATTCAAACTTTTCAAAAAAATTGCACTGAAAAGTCTTCTACATATTCTAGAGACGTACAGAGTTGATATTTTGGCACATACATAGCATGTATCATTGACTTCAAAGATAACGCATATCATTGACCTTGACCTTCATTCAAGGTCACATGGGTCAAATGATCAAAGAATGAAAATTTCATTTTAAAAACGGGTTTTTTTACACCATTTTTTTTAAAATGTATCCTAATTAAGAGATTTATAAAGTTTCGAGTTTACCGCTTCATGACGAATGTCAATAAACATGTGCAACCTACAAAATATCGCTTAAAATAACACGTTCGTTTGAAGAATGGAAAATGTTCAAAGGGCAATAACTCTTACAGAAAATTCAAACTCTGTAGACACTGTCTCCTTCTTGTGACTCTATTATATCACACATCTGACCTTATCCACAAACAAGGTTAATATTCAAAACTTACTAGGCATAATAGTCAGCTTCAACATGTCCAGGAACAATTCACTCACTGTATGTTTAACTTGTTTGTTTTCTATATTTACGCAATAATTTCAAAAAAGACATTCATTATGCATTATTCTTAACAAAATGGTGACATGATGCTGCAAATGTTTTTTCATTCGACATCACGGTAAAATGGCATTTTTAAGCAAATCAAATCACTTACCACGTAATTTATGAAACGCTATCGACAATAAAAGTGTACACAGACTAATGTTTCATTATTGGTTTCTATCTAACAGTGATATAGTTCTTGAGTTCTTCTTTGTTTCAATAGAATGTGATATTAGCGTAGAAGACAATTCAAGCAATACGCATGCTTACCTGTGTTGTCTTGTAGAGATACTGTCGAAGTATTACTTGATAGCGTTATATGTAGGGCAAATGACATCATCTCTTGATACAGTCCTTCACCTGAACGCCAGTTTGTACATATACCTTTCTGTATTGAAAAAAATCCGTTCACGTGCAATCAAGCTAAAAGCTGTTTGCATTCTAAAAAAAAAAGATGTATTCATTTGAGGACACCTCTAATTACTGGACTTATTGACATTGGTTTTATGTTATCGGGGTGTCAGGTCATTTATACGGCATATCGCTTTTGCATTATTCACGGCACAATCAGCTACATTGATCAGAGTTGTTCGGTTGAATCATCCATTAACACATCGAAATTTGCTAATGCATCGTATACAAAACAACACCGCAAAAACTATTATGATCTAAATTGATCAGTTGGCATAATACTTGTCCAATGATTGTACATTAAGAATAAACGACAGTACATGGACTAAAACAAAGAGGTCGGTACTGAAATGTCGAAAATCGTATATAATCAATTAAATCTGGAATTATACATATGTATATAGGTATATTCCAAACATAACCTTTTACAAGTGCATCACCTGATTAAATATGAACGTACAGTAATCACTTAATCACAACTTGTACAAATTGTGTATAACCGAGATGCAAGTAACTGTGAATCACATGATTACAGATCCCAAAAGGTAAACACTGTACATTACCTTATATCATGTGTGCATTCCTTATTACCAATACAATTGTACATTACGATAGTAAAGGTAATCAAACAGTAATGAACCTTTTATAGGTACACAATGTACATCACCTTGGTACAGGTACTTACAGTATATATCGTAATTACAGGTACAACAGGAATTAATTAAAATCTTACAACAGGAAGGTAAATAATGTTATCATCTAGTTACAAGTTATGAAAATGACCAGCAGTCATTATAAATGTGAACCGGAAATGAATCAATGCAATTGTCAAATTTAAAAGAGCAAGAGACCAAGAGGTCTATGAGACCAAACTGAGTTTTTTCATATTGCATTATCAGTCATTATGCGGAAATATGGATTTAAGAATATATTTGGAAAATATGTGTTCATTTTCAAATGTTCAATTGTGGATTAATGTTTGTTTTTTAGCATTTATGATAAATATATGTTTGATTAATCACAAAATATAAGCAGTTTGGCTTCCCTATCTTACAACAAGTATGCATTAATTTAATCGGTTTTAACGTCCTTATTTTCACTCAATATTTTACTTAAACACTGATCACAATTACATTCGACTTTTCATATAACTTTTCAGAAAGATCAGGATTTACAAATTCAATTGTGTTTCCAATATTTGGTTTCAATCCACTGCCTCCAAGTGGATGTGGCCACACATTCTGTTTATACAACGATATGACCCATAAACCTAGGGAGTCTAAAGGCAAAAATTAGGTTAAAATCTCGTAGCCTGTACTCAAAGAGAAAGATTTAAACATTTCTCTTTATTTCCTTTTTTGGGACACGCCCCTCTGCACCAAGGTAGGCCTCAAGTTCCTGAAATTACGTAAGAAAAATGGTAATTTTCGCGGGGTTTTTTGCGTTGAGTAATTAAGCGCGAAATTATCCACACGCTAATATTTATATATAGATTATATAGATTGTAGTTAAATGAAATATCAATAACTCAGAAGTTTAAAGGGTCACGACGGCAACATTTTCACACGCGAAAATTTTCACTTTTATAGTACGTAGATATACAACAAGAGAAGTCTAGAAAACTTTTACTGATTAACAGGTTTTGGCTACCTCAAGCATCCTCGATATCCGGGAGTTACGCCTACTTTCGCTCTCTACACCTCTGGAATATGTCATGGCAA